GTTTAGTGGTTCAGATTGGAATATTAGAAAATTTTTCTCAAAAACTATTGCAACATCTTGATCTAATTCAGTTAATTTGTTGTTAAAACTTAACTGGTAGTTTTAAGTACGAGAGTTGACCTCACAAGTTTCAATATTAATTATACACTACGTCATTTTAATTTTATTAGAAGCCGTCTTAACTTTGTTGCTCTAATGCAAAGACTTGGCTGTGGAGCATCTTTTAAATATTTTTGAATAAGTTTTTACATATTTCCTGATTTCGTCGCTAGGATTATATGACCTTTCAGGGTAAAGATTAGATAACCTTTGTCTGCTTTCATTGGAAACTGTTCAAGGCGAATATTTTAGAAGTAAAAGTATTATTAAATTCATTGCAAATAAGCTTAGACAATGTTCCATATAAAAATTTGTATCATTTTGGTATGAAAGTGATGGAAGATTTTTCACAATGTTATTTCTAATCTTGACGTGAATTTACTGGAACAAACCAACTTTCTCATTTACTTGCTTTTTGTGAACATAAATAAAATAAAAAAGCCTTTTATTCCATGCCAAATAAATTTTACAATATAACTTTTTACAATATAATTTGCATTCTATAATTGAAATATGATGACATACGGAACTGAGACGTGGTCCTTCACTGCTGGCCGGATGAGGAAGCTCAAGGTCGCTCAGCGAGCTATGGAGAGGGCTATGCTCGGAGTTTCTCTGCGTGATAAACTCAGAAATGAGGATATCCGCAGTAGAACTAGAGTGATCGACATAGCCCAACGGATTAGTAAGCTGAAGTGGCAATGGGCCGGCCATATAGCTCGAAGAACCGACAACCGATGGGGAAGAAAGGTTCTCGAGTGGCAGCCTCGTACCGGCAGGCGAAGTGTAGGGCGTCCCCCCACTAGATGGAGTGACGACCTGGTAAGATATGCAGGAAGTCGATGGATGCAGGTGGCTCAGGACCGTGCTTTGTGGCATTCTTTGGGGGAGGCCTATGTTCAGCAGTGGACTTGTGAAGGGCTGTAATGATGATGATGATGAATTGAAATTAAAAATATAATTATAGATTTTTTTTTTAGTTTTTAATACATTAATTTACTTTTATTATTTTTTTATTTAATTACAATTGTTGAATGAATTTGATTGAGTTAATTTATTTTATAATTCTGAGTATTACAATTATTTTTTATAATAATTGACTATTTTACATTTATTTTGATTTTTGTAACATTATAAATGGGATAAAATTAAGTATAAATTGAATAAAACTATTTTTTTACGGATTACGGATATGTATTACGGATACGCAATATAATCAGTAAAAAAATTGTTTTATTCAATATGTAGTGTTCACGTAAATATAAGAAATCATAAAGTATAAATTTAAATTAGTTGTAAATGGACAAAATATTTTAATTTATTATTTATTAAATATCTATTTACTCATTGGTGTTTGTTTGCTTTGCATGGTTTCCTCAAAAATTTCTTACCCTCAGGTAAAGGCTTCCCCTAAAAACTTGCCATTTGTCTCTGTTTTTTGCTTTTTGGTATATATTCTATATCTCAGTCACCAGAGCCCCGTGTCCATTGCCCCATTTCAAAAAATTGTTACATTGGTTCTGCTACCCTCGAAAAGTCTTAGAGATTAAATTACTTTATTTTATTAACAGTTAGCATTCGAATGTGGGGTCTATTACCATAGCCGCCAGGCCTGGCAGACGGTTTGGTAAACGCAGTTTTTTTATTATTGAGTTTAACAAATCAAAAACATACTGCTGTCCTTCTCTTTGTTTTGATATCCTCTGTCACCTCTTATAATATTATTGTTTTACCCACGAACATAAAGACACAGAGTAAGATTTAACTTCAAAACTAATCACAATAATATTTTAATCAAACTATGTCCAATTTCAATAACATAAAATTGAAGCAAATGAATCTAGCTAGAAACCAAATTTGAATCAGGAAGTAGTTTACATCAGATTTCAATTTCAATTCTCGTTGAATGTAACTACTGCAGTTATATTCCTTGTTAAACGAAGTTGGCTCGAATGAATTGGTCCATCGTGCATCTTTGTGTTTAAACGGCGATGCCATTATCCGAATTAATAAACAAAACTTCGTCGGAATACGCACGTTCTATCTCTACTGTACTGTACTATTTTATAATGAAACACAAAGATAGCTTAAAGAAAAATTGAGTTCGTGGGTACAGATAAAGATCATTACAGATTAGCAGATACCCTTATTTTACAAATGCCTGCTCACAACTCAAAATTTTATTTTTCCTCCTTTTGTGTCAAAGCAATCCAATTATAGAACTCGCTTCTTTAGACAATTAAGAAAGGACTGAGTCTTTTAAAAAATTATTGTTTAAATATGTGTTCCACTTAATATATTTTTATGTTATATTTACTTTTCTTGATGAAGTTTTCGTATATGATAAAGTAACTATAATGTATGATAAAAATATTTATATTATTTAAAAAATGGTCTTTAAATGACGATGTGCATATTTTAAAATGCATAAATTCATATAATAACATTTTAAAAATATTGCTAACTTCACAAATATAGCGTACTACATACAGCTAAAGGTTTCATCTATTATTCACGAAAAATTAGCAAACTTTATGACCTCAATGCACGGTTTAGCTAACTTAGTTTGGTTAGGCTTCGGTTATAATTTACTATGTACTTAAATACTGAATATTTTACATAAGTATTAAAAACATAATATATAATTGTACATAATATTCCGCGTAGCAACGTATTATCCAGTGGCTGTCGTAAGTTGCGAAAAAGAAAAGGGTAGCAGCATCTTCCTACTAAATTTGATCGTTATGTCATCTCATCTGAGTTGTTACTCAATCATATCAAAAAGTGTGTTGACAAGCGCACTTAAAATGATATAAAATAATTTATCTATTAATTCCAGACCATCACAAGTCCACAGTTAAACCTGGGCCTACCCCATAGATTATCCAATCCCAAGGATCTCATATACCCTATATTTGCCATAGTTGCCACAGTTGGTAGGCGAACTGGAAATATTATTTTATACGTCTTTGGGCAAGAGAAGTTGGAAGCTTCGATACTCTTTTGTAAAATATTTTGTACTAACTATGTGAAATTGATTCCGTAGCAAAAAATCTCTCATATTTTAAAGTATTTCTAAGTATGTGGAGAATATGTTTTCTATCTTTCATATAATTTTTCCAATAATAAAGAAATTAGTCTTAAGTACATAATATTTTTTTAATCTGGCAATATTTAAAACTGGTAATGGAACCGTGTAGTGGCGGTGTAAGAATATGCAATACCCCATATCGTCCCTATCGTACGAGGCGACAGTAGAAAACAAACTAATAGTTGGGCAACAGCGTTTTCTTGATAACGGCTAGAAAATAAAAAATGCGGGTATCAATCAACCAGCCTGCCAAGCGAGACAAACATAGCGCGTAACTCGCTTGTAACACATCCACGCCTATGTTTAGCAATGGAGTTTGATACTCGTAATATGATAACTGGTAGATATAAGTTAGTGAAATTATTTATTTAATCAGTACTGAATTTTATGATAGCGTTTATTTAATTTGATTTGGGATGAATAAGAAACAAAGTATTTAATATGTGTAATAAATATGCTATTAATTAACGCTATTCGACACTTCCGAGACGAAATGGGGTAATGGATTATCCTAAGCCGCCACCAGTGGTTGAGAAAATGTTAACTTAATAAACACACTAATAAAAAACATGAAATTTATTTATTTACAGATAAAATAAGTTTATTATTATTCTCATAACTTATTAAATTGTCAATTTAAATGAGAACTACTTTCTAGAATAATTAATAAAGCAATCAAAATTCGTATATATTGAATTTTTAAAGGATATCCTCCGTAGACATACATCTGAAGTCAGATATATTAAGACTGATCACAGCTGAGTTACAGAATTATTATTTCAGTATATGAAATCAGTGAAAGTCCCATACTATATGTATTTATACATATATGTATTTATGAATGTAAAGTCTAAAGAGCAAAATCAATTTTAGGTTGGAGAAATGTAAAAAAACGCATTTCATATGTAATGCGTTTTTATTTAGCATTGAAAAAATTAATTAGCTTTCATCGAAAAATTTTCTAAAAAAAATGAAATAATATTATTTTTAAATTACGTCCATTCATGAACTAAAAGTTTTGCGGCTAGCCAAGACCGTTCCGCAATGTGGTATAGCGATCACATTTAATGAAGTTTTAGAGGTGCATTATTTTAAGTATGGATCAAAATTAAATTGTATCCAACTAATTTAATTTTATAACAAAATTTTGATATTATAATGTAATTTATAGCTAGTCATTGGATTATAAATTGAATTGCATTGGTGATCGTATTTCTGCTTATTTTTAAGATGACTCTGCCGCTCATAACTTGGATCTAGGCTTTTGATTCATCTTTTCCGATGGTTATGCCGCCATAAATCAAGGAAGGGTAAATTTATGCGAAATATCTCAAAAATCGGCCACGGATGCATCATCATCACAATTTTTAACAATACAGCCGTCTTTAGATTAAAATAATATTAAATGCGATAGAGAATTAAGCACTGCGTCTCGTCCCGTAGATGTGATGTAAAGTAGTCTAAAGAAAATGGCGATTGATTAATTCTCAGTTGTTGTTCTTATGATGTATTTATGTTGTATTGAGATATATTAATAATAATAATTTATTTATTAATAATAATAATTTATTTATTTATTGGTATATATTAAAAGTAAAGTATCAAATTGTATACACAGTGTATGCCTCTTCTCATTTCTGTAAGTTTTATGCAGCAGGGGAGTCTACCATGCAACCTCAAAATGTACTTCATCGATTCTCCCCAGGAGTTTCCTACAATGCCCCTACTTCTTGTCTCTATTTATTTATTAAGCATTGACTGCTGTTTAAGGTTTTGTTCATTATTTATAAATATTTTTTTATTGTTATAGGTTGTTCCTGTATACGCTTCACGTCAACATTTGGCAAGGAGCGTGGAACATTCAGCAGTCCAGATTATCCACGACCGTATCCTGCCCACATTACCTGCCTTCTTTATACCTTTGTCGCTGGACCTCATCAAATTGTTGAAATCATGTTCACCGATTTTGATGTTTACAAGGAGCATATTGAGTGAGTATCTAATATTAATTCTGTATTATATATCTATAATTTCTGTATTAAATACTTCTAAAAGGTTAAAAATATTCTACAAATTTTATGATTATATTGTTCGTTCGCGTTGCTTGATATAATATGTATTAACAAATTTTTAGATATATATTTTGTTATTATACAGTTGTTTATATATATAAACAACTGAATCTTTCTGGGTCTCTAGCGCAAATAATACGCGGATAGCTCTAACTTTATCATAAGGCGGAAGTAGAAGCGACTTCCCATCTCCTACGTATGCACGCTCCACAGCTTGCCCCACTACTCCGCGGCAAGAAAACACACATCACTAAACACGTAGTGCTTATAAAAATCGTTGTAAGCACTACGTGTGTTTCTTAAAACCTAATATTAAATGTAATAACTTTATATTTAATGAAGTTATCGCAATATTTTTTTTAGATAAGGGCCAAGAATCTAATCTAAGTAATAAATAAAACTTAGAAAACTAATTGAAATGTATCGAGTAGTTTATCCGTGATGCGCGCACTACTGCTAACATTTATCATTTTATTTATATAGATAATGAATACAATCTTATAAATTAACAATTATTTCACAATATTAGTTTAAATAATTTAAATTTTGCTAATGTTTTCGTGATATATTAGATCAAATCGTTTGGAAACGTCGTAGGAGAAGCCATTATCCCGTATTATCATCCCGTGGGGTTGTAAGAGGTGAAAGAGAGAAACTGTCTAATAATAATATAATAGGAGATGGGCTATAGCTGTTTATAGCTCAAAATAATAAAAAAAGACTGTAGTTGCCTATCCACCTGCCAAGCGTGGGAGCTATAGCAAATACCCCCGTAATGAGATAATCTATGCGGGAGGTCTATGCTGAGAGCTTTAATAGAACGAACTGTAATAAATGAATGAATGAATATTGGATTAAATATTTTACGAAAGCAGCAGTTCAAGCCCGCTAAAATTTAACATTTTATCTTCATTGCCTGAAGCGGAGGAACTTAATTCCCGACAATTGCTTATCATTATAGAAACTTTATCATTCAGTAGAAGAGAATCTGCGGACGGTTCATTTCTGAGCAACTTAAGTTAGATACTTTAAATAGTAATTTCAATTTAGTCATTACGTTTTTCTGCATGATATTGGATAATGACAAAAGGGCAGATAATCATTCTATTTTCTTATTCATTTTCTTCTACAAAAAGTCAATTTTATTGCACATATACTGTAATTACAAATCAAGTAGTAGATTAGTTGTTGCTATTGTCGATTTCTTTATATACATAGAATTATTTTAAGTGGTAATAAATAATATGAAATACTTATTTGCGTTGCCTTCGTCAAGTACCCGTGGTTGAGGTTTTATGAAATTAATTTAAAATCTCCATTTTTCAGGAATAACGACAATGTTTTTAACTATTAACAGCTGAAGTATATTATCTTAGAAACCGAAATTTGTCATTTAAATAATATCATAATTTGTCAAATACTATTGTAAATTTTAGCGACCTCATATCTCTATATTGAATATATAAAACATTATAAGCAGTATAATCATGATGAAGAGGAATGTCCAATATAATTATTTACATTTCTATCTTACCATCATGTTCCATTTTTTGTAATCATTCTCATCTTCACCAACAGCTTTTTTAAGTCCACTGCTGCTGGACATAGTCTTTTCCAAGGACACGCCATCTGGCAAGCACTCGAAAATTTGTCCACACTCAACGCATATGGTTCGAGAACGCAGAACAGGTACATTCACAATGTTATCTTGTGATTTTAATTGCACGTACAAATCAGAGTGAATATTTTGTTAAATATACGCATCGGTTGTCAGAAACAATTACTGAATATGCAAGTACATATTGTTGTTAGTTGTTTCCAAGTTTAGGTAAGAGATTTTTCACCTAATCCTTTTCTGAATCGCAATGCTTGGCGCAAAACTTTGTTGGAATTTTGTTTCTTATGATTTGTCATCATTTTGGTTTCGAAATTATTTCATAATAGTATAGTTAAAAACAAGCTAAAAGTCTATCTCATGATAATTGCCTACTGCAACCCTTAAAAATCTGCGACTAACTTTATGTAAAAAACGGAAAACTCTAAAGACAAGCTAAATACGCACTACTGCCGGTTTGGGTACCTGCACCCAGATAGACTCCAAGGTAAAAGTGAAGCCCTAACACTAATTACGTTTATAGTCATTGTACTTTTATTTTTCAGTACTAAATCAAAATGTAACTACTATAATATATCTAATAATATACAGTCAAAATGTTGATGCTTTAAGTGCAAAATAATTGTAATAGCAGATATACCGAATAAGAAGAAAAAAAAAACTGAATGTTTATAGAAAAATTAAACAGGTTTTGTAGAGGTAAAGGTTTATTAGCATATAATAAGATAAATTAAATGAAACATATTTTTTCACAAATATTTCTTGAAAAGCCACCTACTTTAAATAACATAAAGCACTTGTCAGAGATCCTATCTATTTTTGCTGATATTTTTAAGTTATCAACTATTCCAAAAATAGCCTTTCATGCGAAAATAGTCAAAAAAAATTATAGAAAATATTTTTTCTAATTTTAATGTGCGACTTTAAGCATAATACAAATTATTATATTTTTATACTTATTTATTTGCCTTTCTTAGACCACTTAACTGACTACAGAATTGTATATAATCGATCATAGTTTTCCCATTCTTGTCAATAGTCGGCGCTTCGTCTAAGGCGTAGTCTGTTTCTTTTTCTGTAAAACGATCACCCCACGTCATGAGATCATGTCTAATCCTGAAATAAAGTTATTAAATAACAGACGTTATTAATCAATTCTTATAAAAACAATAAATTATTAAAAGACTATCAAGCAATTATTTATTTTGTAAATTGCGAATGTATACAGGATCTTAAGTCTTACATATTCTTCACAGTGTCTATTTTTGGAAGAAAATGTTTCAAAATTAGGATCCAATTTCCATTATTCAATCATTCTCACGCAAGCAATTAAAACACTATATTTATTAACATTATGGACTAATATAAGTATAATTAATATTATATTTAATAGCTCAAGCTATTTTCATGCGTCACAATACACCAGTCATGTTAAAACGTATCTTTATTCTCTAATTTAATATAATTTGCTTATTACGAGATAAAAAAGAAACGATGAGGTTTATAACATCTACGAACGACTCGCAAACTACTTTCGCATTCATCCTGAGTCCAAATTTTACGTAACAATTTCACCAACGTCGTCGTAAAACGCACATTGCAAGGAGAATTTAAACAGGATATCTTCATTATAATGTAACGTAACAAAAATGCACTAAGCGACATCCAAAACAGTTTCATATAAAGTTCATTTACAAGTTACATACTTTAGTATATATTAATTCCGACAAAAATTTAAGGAACTTAATATATTAAGGTTGGCCTCTCAATACATTTATGAAAATGTAATGTACGTACACAATAATAAGTGATATTCATTCTGTAAATGCAGACACAAGCTAGTAGTACCAGTTAGGTACTCGACTCCACCGAGTCAGTAATTCATTCTTGGGGTGATGTATACGCTTTTACAACATAATCCCAGAAAATATACAAAATTTAACCTGCTCAAAGTTCAAAAACTTTATTAAACAAAGTTTGTATAAAAGCATTATTATAATATTAAGGAATTTATGGATAATAATAACCCCTGGGAATGAGGTGATCGCTTCCAAGCTATTTCTAAGTTGTTTTGTGTTAATTGTAATTACATGATTGTAAGCTGTTATTTAAAAGAAAGTCCCGCTTGGTTTCTTGCTGGTTCTTCCCAGGACAGAGTTTTTCTTCAAACCAGTGGTAATTAAACAAAAGAGTGACTTTCAATAAGTATTATTTATAATCTATATTGAATAAAAAAGTTTCTGTATCTGTTTAATCACTAATTAATTACAGCCTATCAAATTACACATCAGGACCTCCCCGTATATAGACTCAAGAGGTATTTGCCATAGTTTCTTGCCACGATTGAACTCGTCTAAATTGACAAGCTTTTTTTTTATTTTATCTGTCCGCATCCTGTTTGTTTATGGCATAAGAGTGAAAAGAGAGCACACAGTCCACCTGATTGTAAGTGGTTGCTGTGGCCCAAAGACATCTACATCTATCCTCGTTTGCGAATAAAATACAGATATGTTGTCAGCCGTAAGAAGTAAGATGGAATGCGTCGTTTCCAGTAAAAAGGGTCTTCGGTTCTTTACACTCACCAAACGAAACACAGCAGCATTAAACTGCTATTTTACGCTGGTATTCTGTGAGAGCGTGGTCCTTCCCCGGTCGAGCCGAACCATTCGTACTACAACTATACTACAAATATAGCTGTAGCATGGCTCTACCACGTATAAAGCTAGCAGCTAGACTTCAAATATATTTATTTATATTATGTTCTAATAATCATTATAATAATACATTTTTATATGTACTATTATATAAACAGGGGAGGCCTACTTCCAGCACTTTTTCGGAATAATAATGAATAACATTTGTTTATTATTTTACATATTTAATGTTATCCTAACAGATTTTCGATTGTGATACCTTTTAATTGATCGAAAATTATTAAATTATGAAAAATATGGGCGTTTTGCATCACAACAAATTAAAAAAAGCTGTCTCGGAGGTTTTAGTAGATGCTTATTACTTTCAAGACAAATTGAAGTTTCGACACGCATACGTTGTATTATATCAAAAACACTCACACACGCACATACACGTGCACACACACACACACACACACACACACACACACACACACACACACACACACACACACACACACACACACACACACACAAACACAAATAAAAAATAAAGTAATGTGGTGCACACTAACACCACCATTCATCTGAACCTACCCGTGTCACAACATAAATTATGTAGAGAACAAACAATTTGTGGTATATACCTGCGTTATGTATCTACGACTTAGCAGCCTACCCTGTCCACTCGGGAACGTAGTCGTTAATTTTGTATGGGCAATGTTAAATATTGTTATTTTAGTAAAATAACCTTATTTAATGTGTTATTGAGTGTAACGGTAATTTAATCACGTGGTTCACCAGCAATCACGTATAGCTTAAGCTCAGAAAAATTTCGACCCATTACGTAGCCTCTTACTCTAACTTCGAAAGTCGTAATATCGCAGAGATTAGAGAAGTTAGGCTATTTCTACAGTTACCGCTAAGTTGTTGCTTATTAGTTACGTGACTATGAAGCATTAATTAATAGTTTAACCAAACTCGACCACTTTACTTTTAGATTTCTTATTATACAATTTGATTACCTTGACCTGTATATATCACTCGTTAATCAAAACAAATCGTAAAAAATAAGCAATATTTATAATCAGAAGATATAATATTATTATAGACTTGACTTTTGACTTAACTTGATTGCAGAGATGGTCTTAGATAAGTTTTCACCTTTGAGGTCTAATGTAAAAAGACTCACAGCCTGTATTATACTGGCTCTCTAACCCTTCAATACTCGTAGGTATTACAGTGTTACCGTTAAGGAATCCTGTATCGAAAACAATCTACACCGCCAAGAAAAATATTTTCTTAAATTAATAATTTTTAGTAAGACAACATACTTGCAGAAAGTCTTTGGATGCAGGTGACACATAATTATATTTTGTGGCACTCTTTAGGCGGGGCCTTTGTTCAGCAATGTCCTTATCAAGGGCTGTCATGATGACGATAATGATTAATTTAGTGTTACTGTTAGCTATTAGCTTCTAATGAAACTTCTCAATGATATAAATAAAGAAGATAGGGTAGTATAGGTTATTATACGGTCTTTGCATTTGTTAAATTATTTAGATAATTTATACATTGCATAGAAAGATAGTACTAAGTAAAAAAACAAAAACTAAAAACAATAATTTACCTTTCCTCCGATATATATCCAGTATTTTCGGCATCCCAGCGTGCTAAAGCCGCCTTCAATGTTTCTTCGGAGTCAAGTTCAAGGGTTTTGTACCCTAGAAGGTTGACAAACGCATCAAAGTCTAAGGGATGGGATGCCTGCATGAAAGTAAAATATTTTTTTAACTTCTATTAAATTTAATAAATACGACTAAGTTAATAAATATAAAAAAATTACTTGTTTACAACTTACATAAAAAAAATCTAGAAATTCTTAGATATTGTAGGATTTATGGGTTATTTAAGTAGCGTGAAAGTATTTATTTCTACTCGTTCTTTTACTCTGGGGGTGGCTTCAAAGTTGAATAAGTGAAAAACCACTAAACTTGAAAAACATACTGGAATATTCATGCCGAAATTACTATAATATTTTTAAAATAACTATTAAGATTGTGCGTTAACCCATGTATAATCTAATAACGATTGGTTCCTAGATTTATTGAAGCCGGCACATTGAGAAACAAGCAAAAAATAAGTTCCAATGCTTTTGATGCGCGAATAATTGACAATCGACAAAAACAGATACTTGGCAAAGTTTCATAAAATAAAACCATATTCGTTTCACAATCATAGGAACCGGCAAAGCTATTAACAAAAAGGTTCCCTGATATTCAATAAAAATGTTCTTTCCACATCGGCCATAAAAAATAAGATTAAAAAGTATTTAAAGTAATTTACCTAATATATAATATAAGTAGAGGAGACATAACCAACTTTTTACTTAAAAGACAATTTAGAAAATTGTGACGCAAAAAAACAAAATCACAGTATTCAATAGTTTTCATCAGTAAGCTTCTCTCTGGAGAGTTCTATTTTTTCAGTATGTTTTCTTTTAGACATTTATAGAGCTTGGCAAACTATTGTGAAAAATATTTCTAAATAAAAAAATTACCAAAATTACCTCTGAGAGCATATTTCGAACTAATTGTTCATCAACTGTTTCTCCAAGACTGACAAATGTTCCTCGCAAATCATTTTGATCAATATAACCATCTCCATTTAGGTCGAAAAGAAGAAACGCCTGAAAAAATATGTATATTGTTTAAATTAAGCATATAATACTTTTGTAGATACGTATGAATTACTTACCTCCTTTAGTTCAAAAATTTTGGATTCATCTAACTCAGACATAACATTAGCGGGTATACATAGAGCATCTCGGGCTTTGGACGATGATCGAGGTCGATGCGTTTGGGGGATGTTCAATTCTGACTCATTTGTTACTGTATTGCTGTAACGAGGGAGATATTAAATTTCATCATACTCAGTACATCGGATCATGCACTCATCGCTAGACAGATAAACATGAATGTTTAATAAAAAGAACGAATCTGTAGAATTTGCCTTTGAGTTAGCCGTTTTGTTAAAATATTTTCCTTCCCTAATAACTCTTTGAGAATGCTGAACGAGCTGCAGAATTTTACGAGCTTCATTTCACTTTAACACCTTTTTATAGTTTTCTAATAAAAGTGTTTTATTAACAAAATTTATATCTTTAAGCAAGTTATATCAAGTCTAAGAAAATTAATGACATCATGACTAGGAGCGTAAAAGTTAATACGGAAAATGTATTTACTTTTCCAACTACTATTTCCTCAGAAAGAAAATTACAGAATAATATTAGCAAGAATTTAACTCTTATTATTTTATTAGATATCTTTATCAGTAGTACTAGTGTAACAGCTGTATATTATTCATAGACATGTATTACTACGGCTAAGCCTCCTCGCTCCCCTAAATTTAACATTATTAAATAAAAACACATTCAATACATTAAAAAAGAGGAACAAGATAGAGGCTATAAAAAATAGCAGACCTGAATCTGATATCTAACCGCCATTATAGTACGTAGAACCACCGAACTACTTGGTTGGAAACGTCTTCTGAATTAAAGCAATTAAATTTCTGGTTTGTAGCCATTACGACTTTTTATTATGCTGTTTTACCGGCTGATTCCATTTAAATTTCCGGCGAAATTTCTTTGAAATCCTTCGTAAATGTAAGTAAAATTTGTTAACTACGTAAGTAGTTATTTAGTGGATTATATAATTATTTATACCTTTAATTACTAACGCTGTTCACTCAAGTACATATTCCACCTACTATAGGTTAGTTCTTGACCTCTATTGCACTTTATTAGAAGGGTGAAGAAGCCAAGGATGACAAACAGTATATTGTGTTACTTAACCAAAACAACGCATTAAGGAAAGTCTAGGTTTAAGTTGCCATGTTAGAATTAGTTTCTTATTTTCTTTTCCTTTTATAAGGCCTCCTAAAAATGAGAGAAATGGCTGCAAACATTTTCTCCATATGCCATGTTGTACATAGCTGATGGGATACAGTACCGATACCTTAGTGCTAGTAATGCTGATCATTATTAAATATAAAGACCACAAGGTTTCGTTAGTATTTAGAAAAAAAGAACAGTGATACATTAATCTTGCGCCGTAACAAATAAAGAACAGAAAAGCTGTTGGATCTCCATTTGACTCCAAAATTCGGTTTTATACATGGTAGAGACAGCGTGCAGCTATATTATTGCAGCACAAGTGGGTCGTTTTAGATCAGAAGCAGCAGTGCTGCTGTGTTTCGTATGGTGAAAGAAGAGAAACGTAGTTGACCCATTTTTGTGACGAAATTACATTATTTCTTAGTCCTCAAGGTTGACAATGCATTACCTATATAATGAAGGATAGATGTTGGTGTCTATGGGCCACAGTATCCACTTGCCATCAGGTAGACTGTGTGATCCTTTATGTCTTATGCTATAAACAATATTGCTGTTTAGGAATAAAGAACATAAATCTAACGCCACAACAGATAGAAACCGAAAGATCTGTATTTTATACAAGTAATTGGCCCTTAAAATGAAAGACGTCAGTACTTTAACCAAGAACTATGTACAAAAAATATTTAAATAACTAATGCAGAAATATATCCAAATTCAATAAATTGCCCAATCAAATTAAATATGCTTTATAAAACCGAACAAACTTATTATGCCACTAAACTTTTTTTAGATAAGTAGAAGTCTTTTAAACTATAACGACTACATTAATTAGCGGAAAGCCCGCTATAATTCTTACACTTTGACACCCAGCCAAATCCAGTAGTTGCAATAATCGTTAAGCAGAATTAAAAAAAAAACTTTATCCAAATTTATTTTTCTACGTTTCGATGAAAGACTATAGAAAAATACTACAACTCTATTTAAGGATCAAATAATATCTTGATAACGCATTAGACAAACGAAATCATCTTAAAATTTTTATTAGAGCCACGCTCGACATGATAGGGAAAGGAGCATACCCATAATGCCTATTAAAGTCCACTGCTGAACAAAGGCCTCCCCCATAGATTGCCTCATAGGGGGGATATTTTTCATAATTTCCAAGTCACGCAGGTGAGTTAAAATAATGCTACTGTGTTTCGTATGGCTGGGAACAAAACCGAAATTACTTTTTACTGGCTACGAGGCGTTCAATCTTAGTCTTTGATAATGAGTAGACGGGTACTTTCATTCTTAAGTGCGGATAAATGTTGTATGTATTAGTTACTATAAAGCTATTTGCTTCAGCAAAGTTGATTATTAATCAATAAAATGCCTTCAAGTTGTTTCATATTTGAGGTCTAAGTAAACAAATAAGAACCGCTGATTTACTGAAAAATATCGAATTGAAAAAAAAAGAAAATCACAAAAGACCGGATCGAAGGTAAAAAATCTCGGGATAAATGTAAAAAAAGTATTTCAATAATGTTTAAGCGTAACGCGTAATACATTTTTAGATTTTAAACACGTATAACAAGCAATGCATGATAATTCATTTTGATACAATTTTTTTTTATTAAATTTCATTTAATAGTAATAAAAATAGACAGCAAAAATGTTTCAAGAAAGGTTCCGATTTAAAAACTGTTTTAAAATCATGTCATATTAAATCGCGTTTTATGAGCTCCAATGATGGACATTGGTCTCTGTCGTTGTAAAAGGATTTGCCTTAATCGCAGTTCCAGATGATTCGCTCCTTTAACGCTGATCCTTGCCATCGATCTGGGTATTTTATGGCTAACGTAAGTTATAAAATACCAATAACATACTTTCTACATAATGATATAATGATTATGCTTGCCTATCAAAGCCATATAGATTTTGGCATTTCCCTTATTCACCTCTTACGATACCTACAGACAAATTGGGATGTAGGATTCTCTATCGCCGCCATGTCTCGGCGTGTTTTAAAAACTTTTTTAAACATATATTTTCTTTCACTTTTCGGCTTTTAATATTATGGCTATAAATTTTGCTATTTGCAACAAAATAGCAATAAAATAAAAAAATGATGTATGGTTGTTAATATTCAAGCAAAAGTCATTGCATTCTATTTACGCGATCCAGTATAATCAAAATATCACGAGCCATGCAGTAAAATTTACTTATGGGCATTTATTGGGCATAATAAAAACTCGCATTATTATTAAAAAAACTTTTGAAAAACGTGTGTTACATTATGTTATGTAGGTACTTAAAGTTCTCTTGATTTAAATTTAATTTTTAACTTAATTTATTATAAGTACATATATATTGAAATTTCAATTTTAAGGCATTAACAACGAATTATTACTCACTTTCCGTTTGCTACCGACCCTAGAAGATTTTCTTTGAATTTCTTTATCTCATCCTGCGTCACTTGTTTTTCCTGGGGAATATTAAGTTATATTACTGAACTGAAATCACATGTTTCAGAATAAATAACTACTCACATTAAAATCTAGCACGCAATTCATTTAGTTACGTAGAATATCACTTACTGTAATTAAAAAGTTTTCATTTTCCTTATCCATATTTTCAAGCGAGTAAATTTACTAACACAACTCGCGCAAGAAATAATTAACGTCTGAATATCGTACTGTAAGTGTAGAAACTAAACAAAATTCATGTCATTAAATTTAAATTGCATTTTCGTTGGGCAAAGATAATCATTTACTACGGTTGGTTGCACATAGATTTCAAGATTAGGCGGAATGTTTTCCGCAGCTAAATTAAATTAATCTTTCGCATGAAATTCTCTTGGAATTTTGGATTAGTGCGTCATCAGTGAACTCACTGTGCTGTTGTGTTCTGATTTTGAAGGAACATAAAGTCAATTTAATTCCGAACCTGTGAGGCATTACATAATCGTCCTCATAATAAACGAAACATCTGTGGCCCTCTTTCTTAGAAAATTTTGCACTGCGGGAGTCCTTGGGCTTAAGCAATAGTTTAAATTAAAAAGTCTACTGAAAAACAATTTCTGCTTTTTCCGATAAATTAAGTTAATGGCTGTAAAAATCTATTGATGAAGAGTCTTTCTAATTGTAGAAAAAAAGAATGAAATTACATTTGCCACGATTGGTGGGCAAATTGCCTCTGTTAGAACCAGAAAACCCTCACTGCTGACATTGCATACACGAGATTACATAACACCATTTATTGAAGGTCAATGTGGTGTAACTGGTCTTTCCTATAATCATCTATTACGATGTCTAAAGGACTGATTGATTCTCTTACTCTATACACAAAGGTTCTTTGTATAAAAATTTGCTTTTTTTATGGAATAAGAGTGACAAGCGAGCACACAGTCCACCTAATGGTAAGTGGATGCTGTGACGCATAAACATCTACATCTATTCTCGATTAAGAATCAAAATGCAGATGCATTGTCATCGCTGAGGAATAAAATGGAATACCTCGTTCCCAGTGAAAAGGGTCTCCGGTTCTTTACTACCATATGAAACACAGAAAGCTGCAATTTTACGCTGGTATTCTGTGAGAGCGTGGTCTTCCCCTGTCAAACCAACTCATTTGTGCTTCAACTATAAGGTAGCTGCAGTATGGCTCAACCGTATTAAAACATAATAATGCGAACATTTGCAGGAGTTATAGAGTTTTAAATTGAATTACAGCTAAATATTTGTAATAATTGGAATACGAGGAGTCTAAACGCACTGTCCTTTAGCTGATCCAATCAGAATCGTGACCTTTATAATATTTCTCCCCAGCCAATCTTGGGGCATCCAGGTAGGCATCAGCAGTACTGTGACATCAACTTTTAGCTGCAACAAAATAAAACTCACATTCGCATTTATAATATAACATATGTATGTAATAAGTTATATCCCTATATCATCCCGTAAGTGTTGTAAGAAGCGACAAAGGGAATAAATAAAACAGTAGATGGGCAGCAGTATCTTCCTGACAACCGAAAATAATATAAAACTATGTTGGCTTACCCGCCTCCAAAGGGTGGCCTCTGTGACAAAATCCCTCATCAAGCTATGGAGCAATCTTTGGGAGAGGCCTATATTCAACAGAGGACTTTTGATAAGCTGTAATTAATGAACAAAAAGAAGTAATAAAATTTTCTGATAATTATTGATCATAACATACTTTCTAATATCAACGTTGCCGTAAACTAGAGTAGCTTTTGTCAGAATAAACACATTACTAGAGCATATAAGTATAGGAAATAGGTTAAAATATCATTTGCCCTATTTGCGGTTATGTGAAAACAAGAAAAGTGGGTAATGTTGCATATAAAGTAGCTGTATATACGTGGTGGAGCCATGCTGCAGCTATATTTCTGTAATAGTTGTAACACGAATGGGTCGGCTCGACCGGGGAAGGAATACGCTCTCACAGAATACCAGCGTAAAATAGCAGCTTAATGCTGCTGTGTTTCGTATGGTGAGTGTAGAGAACCGGGGACTCTTTTTACTGGAAAAGAGGCATTCCATCTTAGTCCTCACGGCTGATAACGCATTTGCATTTTAATTCACAGACGAAGATAGATGTAGATGTCTATGGGCCACAGCAACCACTTACCACTTACCACGGTGGACTGTGTGCTCGTTTGTCACCCTTATCCTATAAAAAATATATCCCATAATATCCATGGATAGTTATTTTATAATTCATCTTTAATTTTAGTTTATTTTTTTAAATCTATTTGAAAATGTATAGAGAGCGAGTATAATTACAGACAGTGTGGCATTCTTAGTTGTTACAGATAAAAACACATCTGTAGCACTCTTTCTTTTGCATATGAACTTACATTCCACCTGATGGTAAGTGGTTACTGCCCATCGACACCTGTAACCTGCTTCAAAAACAAAGAGGGCTATAGATGTGTTTTTATCCTTAACAACTAAGATAGAATGCCACACAGTCTGTAATTATACTCGCTCACTATACATTTCAAACCGGAACACAGTAAGAGAGTAGTTGTATTTTTAAAATTATCACATTTTTAAAATAAAGTTTTTATTTCTACCTTCTACGACTTCTAAGAACTAAGATAGAATGCCACACAGTCTGTTATTATACTCGCTCTCTATACATTTAAAACCGGAGCACAGTAAGAGAGTAGTTGTATTTTTAAAATTATCACATTTTTAAAATAAAGTTTTATTTCTACCATATAGTGGCGGTGTAAGAATATCCACTCCCCTATATCATCCCGTGCGTGTCGTAAGAGGCGACAGAGGGAAGGAAATCAGGAGATGGAGAGCAGCGTCTTACTAATGATGACTAAAAATAAAATAAAAACTGCGATTGCCAAGACGCTTGCCAAGCGTGGCAACTATGTCAAACATCTAATGTCTCTATGAATCTATGACGCAATCCACGTGGGAGGCCTATGTGCAGCAGTGGACTTTAATAGGCTGTAATGGTAGCGGTAAAGGTTTTATTTAAATTGATTGAATATTTATATTTTCGTAGTACGAGTACATATGATCTTTAAGAAGCCGATAACGCTCATGTGTTCAATAGGTGCACCGCCTCATTGAGCACATATTAGATTATGCCACAAAGTCGAATAGGCGTACTGCACATACTGGTGCTCTGTTCTTCAATGTGGCTAAGGCTTTACAAGGTGTGGCACAATAGGTTAGTTTATAAACTTATCCATATAGACCCCTTTAAGACTACTCAAATTTATACAAGGTTACTTGGTTAATCGATCCTTCCGTTTTCGTGTTGACGGGATCCTTTCCTCTACTAGACCCATCAGACCTGGAGTTTCGCAAGGCTCAGTGCTCTCCCCGACTCTCTACTCACTCACTCACTACTAAGTAAGCGATATCACGATTTTACCTGATACACATCTTGCACTTTATACAGATGATACCACGATATACTCATCCGAGAGTAACTCTCTGAAAATTTATATTTGACTCTAAACGCACTAGGCGATTAGTGCAGAAAATGCAAAGCTATCATATTTAAAATAAAAGATCGCTTTATAAACACCTTACTTAGCAACAAATGACACAGTAAAGGTACAATCTTCCTCTATAATAACCCAATCCCTTGAGTTAGAGAGGTGAAATACCTTCGAGTAACATTACATAATCATAAGATCACATTACTGTAGTCAAAAATAAGGCGTTGTTTATAGGATATCGGCTTTTCTCACTTACCAATAAACGCAGTAATATGTCCTAAAGCCTCAAACTGCATATTTATAAAACCTGCGTACGACCTATTTTGACATTTATAGTTTGTTGCGATGAAGTTGTAAAGATCACAGGGCCAACAACACACACTCCTGGAAAAAAAATAAAAAAGCATCTTCCTAATAATAACTCAATATAATAAATAACTGTGGTTGCCAACCCGGCATTAGGCAAACGCGTTGTTTACCGATAGAGTTCAGGTTCTTCAAAAAACAAAAATTACAAATTAGTTATCTTACATAATATATTACAGAGATGTAGATGTTCTCTGCTTTTTGGTAACTGTTATTAAGTGCGCGAATGAAGGTAACATATAATTACCCGCTTATTAAGTGTCTGGTGGACTTTAGAAAAATTAAAACGCGGAGGTACATGTATCTATGCAATAATAAAATACAATATAAATAATTGCATACCTATAAATAACGTCAATAATTTAGTTGTGTATCGCCAGCCACGCAAAATCAGGAATTTGCATTTAGAAAAACCCAAAATAAGAGGCTTTTTAGGTGATAATTAGGTAATTTTAGGTAGTACTTTTAGGTAGGTAATTAACAGTGGTAGAGCCACGCGGCAGCTTTTGCTGTCGCACGGATGGGCCCGCTCGAACCGGGGTAGTACCACGACCTCACAGAAAACCAGCGTGAAGTAGAGGTTTACCTCTGCGTTTCGCTTGGTGAGTGCAGGTGGCCGGAGGCCCTTTTTCCTGGAAATGAGGCATTACATCTTTGTCCTCACGGGTGACAACGCATCTACATTTTGATTTGTAACAGAGGATAGATGTAGATGTCTATGGGCCGCAGCAACCACTTACCATCAGGTGGATTGTGTGCTCGTTTGTCACCCTTATCCTATAAAAAAAAAACATTTTTAAACACAACAAACTGTTGAAATTTGCGTTGCAGGAATATTCATATAGTTACTTCTGTAACGGCTTCGGCGCTGCGGGGTGTGCAGCCCCTTCGCCCTTACGTAACAAATTACAAGCATCCATGCACCCATGCATGCGTCGCCGAATCATTTCTCAAACAAAATGTAAAGGCTTGTTCAAATACTTTTAAATTCTGTACTGCCAAAAGATATCGTTAAATATTTTTAAACTATTGATGTTAAGAAAACGGCAGACTTATGGGGGATTTCCGTTAAAGTTATTTTATCTATAATAGATATAATAGCACCGTATCTAGCCACTATATTATTTAATACAAGAGTTGAATCTGGTGTGTTTCCTGATTTAATGAAACATAGTAAAGTCATGCCTTTATTTAAATCTGGTAGTACATTAGACCCCGCCAATTTTAGATCAATTTCTGTACTACCAACGTTTAGTAAAATTTTTGAAAAAA